GACACCTGGGTTCCCTTGCCCCCCGGCTGCCAACGGGTGTACTAGGACCGTGGGGGGGTGGTCAGTGGGGTACAAGAGGGGACCCGGATGCCTGGCTTCCCTCCCCTGGGGGGACAAAGTCCACTGGGCAAGAATGGGGGGGGAAGGGGAGATGGACGCCTGGGCTCTTCCCCCGGGGGAGCAGAGTCCAGCAGGCTTGGTGGAGGGGGGGCACCCAGACACCCGGGCTCTACCTTTGCCCGGGCCTAGCCTGGCTGCGGGAGGGTGCTATACCTCGATCTCACAGCCTCCCTCTCTCCCCAGTGCCCCCCAGCACCGCCATGGAGGCAGACATGAAGGACGTGGAGCTGAACGAGCTGGAGCCCGAGAAGCAGCCCATGACACCCGCCAGCCCGGGAAGCCCGGAGAAGAACGGGGCCGTGAAGGTGAAGGTGGCCGAGGACGAGGAGGACGAGGGCGCCCCCAAGTTCACGGGGCTCTCCAAGGAGGAGCTGCTGCGGGCAGCCGGCACCCCGGGCTGGGTCCGGGCCCGCTGGGCCCTCCTCATCCTCTTCTGGCTGGGCTGGCTGGGCATGCTGGCGGGCGCCGTGCTCATCATCGTCCAGGCCCCCCGCTGCCGGCCGCTACCACCCCAGACCTGGTGGCACAAGGGAGGCCTCTACCGCATCCAGCCCGTGAAGGCTTTTCGGGACTCGAAGGGCGGCAACGCTGGGGACTTGGCAGGTGAGAGAACCCAGGCATCCGGGGCCTGGCAGCCCAATGGTCTGACCCCCGGCTGTCCCCGAGAAACCAGGTGTCCAGGCACCCCCTTCTGTACTGGCTCAGCAGACCCCATTGCCCTCCCCGAGCGGCGAGAGAACCCCGGCATCCAGGGTAGGGGGCTGGCACCCCCTAATCTGACCCAGCAAGGCTGTGCCGCCTTCCACGGGGGGGGAGAGAAGCCCGGAGCCCCCTTACCCGCTCTGTGCTGACCCAGCAGACCCCACTGCCTTTCCTAAGGGAACCCAGGAGTCCAGGGGCTCCCCGTCTGCCCCAAGGGTGTCCCCGAGTGGGGACAACACCCAGGTCTCCGGACACTCCTGTACGGACCCAGCTGTCTGAGTGGCAAAAGAACCTGGGCTCCCAGGCGGGGGCCCCTGACCCACAGCCATCTCCGAGTGGGGAGGGAATCCAGGGGGACCCCAATACCTGCTCTGCGCTGCCCCACTGGACCCCACTGCCTTCCCCGAGTCGGGGGGGAGAAGCCAGGTGTCCGGGCTCCCCACGTGCTCTTAGCCCCATCTGCTCCCTGAACGGGGAGGGGAGAACCCACGTGTCTGGGGCCCCCAGCGCTGCCCCCCCAGCCCTGCCCCCCCATCTGGAAGAGAACCCGGGTGTCCTGGTTTGGGGGGATGGGGGTGGGCTTCCCAGCCCTGGCCGGCCAGAGCCGGTCTTGGCTGGCGGGTGTTACATCAGCCGTGACATCACGTGTTGAGTCAGCACTTCTGGGGTAGTGGGCGGGGAGAGGAGTAAAGGTCGCGTGATTGGGTGTAGGGGGGGGGTAAAGGTCGCAGGGGGGGATCAATTAACTGGGGGCTTTCTAGGGTGGGCGGTTCAGTTAAGGGGAGAGGTCTGGGGGTCTCAGAGGGGGCTCGGGTTGGGGAGCGGGCGGTGGAGGTCCGAGCGGGAGGGGACCTGGGAGATATGGATGTTGGTGGGCTGGAGGGAGTGGGGGGGGCAGGTATCTCTGTAGGATGGG